GCGGGCAGGGTGCTGTTGGCCCTTCCCCACCCATGATTCAGCCCCAGGCTGTGGGTACCTCTTGTCCAGAACCCTGGGCCACACACTCGGGGATGGAGTAGACCTGATTGGTGATCTGCACACCTCCTGTGGCCACACGTACCAGGAGGACCCGGAAGTTGGTGCCCCCAAGGTCCAGTGCCATGAAGTCCCCACGCTCTGTGGGACAGAGACCCTCAGTGCCAAGACAGAGTGAGTGGCTTCATCCAAGCACAGGAGCCCATGTCCCAGCCCCAAACCCAGGCCAGGCCCTCACCACTGCCATCAGGGGTGGCCCGGACATAAGTGGGCAACATGCAGAGGGAGGAGACCTCTCCTCGAAGCCCCTTGGCCATGGCCTCCCGCATCTGTGCCTGCACTGCTGCCAGCTGCTCAAGATTCAACCGGAACGGCTTCAGGGTCTCCTCCAGCAGGCGCCGGTGGGCAGCAAGGCGGGCAGCCACAGCCGTCACCATTGCCACACCCCGTCCACCCCCGTCCACAGAGGGGATGAAGGAAACATCACATTCAGGGGCCAGGAGCTTCACCGTCTCCTGCAGGATGCTGAGGAACCTACACAGACACATACCAAGCATACCCTGGCACCTGGCCCTGACCCACAGGGCTTACTGAAGCCCTGGGCCCTATCACTACAAATCAGTTCAATTCTAAATCTATCTGTGCACCAATCACACACCCAGTGCCCCCAGGGACCCCTCCCTTGAACAGGATCTTTTCTCTCCTCTGACCTCTTTTGGCATCCCACCCTCCATCTGGCCTCACTGTGCTCAGGTGCCATTAATACTCACTGCCCTCTGGGTGTGTGTCACAAACACAAATGTTTCTGCTCATACAGGATCTTGTGTTTTCCCAATACCTGGGGTGTTGCTCAAACACTCGGCCCCCCGTGGCCACAGCAATCTGAAGCGTCTGCTGCTCCCGGCTATGCTGGAGGCGGTTGAGGACGGCGGCCAGGGCAGCAGCGCAGAGCCGGGCAGCCCGCGTGCACACAGCCACACACACGTGCTGCACGAGCTTAGTGTCCGAGGCCCTAGGGCTCAGGCCCAAGTCCTGCAAGATGGCATGTACACGGGCTGCCCCAGCCAAAGGGCTAGGGGGGACAGGGTGCCACTTTGAGGCTCAAGGAGCCCAGATGCTTCCTTCCCCGTTTCCCCCGAAGCCCCGTGGCTCCCTGGGGACAGAGCATCCTCCACACTCCCAAGTGGAGAATCCCCTGGTCTAATCCTACTAGTCTCCCACACTCACTCCTCCATCTCAGCCACATGCTCCAGGGGTATGCCTCCTCGTTTCAGCAGGGCAGGGGAGGTGCAGCCACCAAAGAGGACCCCGAGCTGGGCCAGGTGAGCCAGCACCAGCCGCACAAGCTCACCCAGGTACAGGCCCCCAATCATCTTCTCAAACCTGCAGGAGGGAAGAGTAGCTGAACAGAACCTTTTCTAAGCCCTCGGCCCACCTGGCCCCACTTGCCAGTGTCTCCAAGGAGGGGTCATTTTCTTTGGAGTCCCAAGACTAGAGGTTTCAGAAGCAAATAGCCTCCCAAGAGACAGGTGGGTGTTTACCCAGACCCCACTGCCTCCTCTGGCTTAGGGTTAGCGGCCTTCTGGAGTATGGCAAGACATAAAGAAGGGCAGGGGACACTTTACTCAGCTACCCCCAATCTCTAACTTGTCAGGGCTAGCCAGAGGCAGGAATAAGGGAGAGCCAACTGTTAAAAACTAAGTTCTAGAACCTTGAGCCCTTTCTATTTTGAGCCTGGCCAGGACCACTCAGGGAGCAATCTGGAGATGCTCAGAGGGAGAGGGTGGACCCCAGGGGCTGGAGCACAGGCAAGTGGAAAGGGTGGGGAGCAGAGCAGTAGCAGGGCTAGAGAAGAAGGTCAGACTACCTCTGGGCACAAGGATTTAAAGACTCTTGATCCAGGGCATGGTCAAAGGTGGTCAGCACTGGCCCAAGGGCCCCATCATCACCAAAGGAGCCCCACTCAATACTGACGCAGACACGGCCCCGGTCCTCGTCCAGCACCGCCACATGCCGCGCCTCCTCCATGTAACAGGCGTTGGTGCCAGTGTCTGTCAGGGATGAGCCCATCAGGGCCTGCCCACTAGGCAGCCATGCCTCCCACCTACTGCCACAAATGGCCCATGGCTCACCTACAACGAGCCCGACCTCACATGGCCCAGCCCCTGGTTCACAACCCATCATGGTGCCCACTGTGTCATTCACCACGGCAACCACATCGATGCTGTAGGCCTGGACAGTGAGAGAGCAGGGCAGAGAACCTGGGGGAGGGGCAGGGCTGGGGCCCTGTCTTTGAGGGAGATGCCCAGATCCCATGAAACATGCGTGTCCACATGCTCTCCGCATCTGTCACAGACACTCTGGACTCTCTGCCAAACAGAGGGAGGTCTTCCTCCCATGCCATGTCTCTTTGGCTCCTCCACCCCCAACTCAGGCACTGGAGCTCTCAGTGGCTCTCAACTTCAGCCAACCCCTCCAGAACACCAATGCCCCCCACAGGACCAGGACAAGGGGGAGCCAGCATGGCACCTTGAAGACTGCACTGTAGGAACCTCGCAGGCTTCCCCTCATCCTGGCCTGGCTCTCCAAGCCCGTTCCTCCCAGCCTGGACCTCAGCTGCTCACACAGCACCTGAATGACTAGTCCAGAAGACTTGCCTTCTCAGGCATGTGCCCTCCTATAAAACTAGATCTTCCTCCCCAGCCTCAGCTTATGCACCTGGCAAAGTCCAGGTTGTGGTGGGCCCTCCTCAATGCTCCCAGAGTCATCGGAACCACCTCCTCAATGGGGACAATCTTTTATTGGAATGCCTTCCCCACTATACTGTGAGGTCCTTGAGGACAGGGTCAAGCCTTTTTATCTTTGTTTCCCCTCTACAGTCCTGAACATCACTTTGACCTTTCTTGGTCTCAGTCTCTTCATTTAGAAAATGGGAATGTTAGTAGCATTTATCCCAGGGTTAAACTGGATAAAACGAAAAAGGACAGCAGGCCATCCCGGAAGCACAGGCACCGCCTATGTTTGCCGGGCCCGGGCCCAGGTCACCGGAGCAGCCCTCCCACCGGCCTTGCCTCCACTCACCCCCTGCCTCTCGATAGCTTCTCGAAGCAATTGGACCACATCCTGGCCTTCCACTCCACTGCACCGAAACCCTTTAGTCCAGGAAATGAGGGAGCTCTGGAGGCAGAAAAGCTGGTCACTCCTCCAACAGCCTTCACAGGGCTGCGGCCCCTCCACCCACCGAGCCCATGCCCGCTCTGCCTCACCCTGTCCAGGCCTGTCTGGTGACAAGGGAAGGAGAAGTTGAAACCAAGCTGCAGGCTCTGATTGCTCACAGGGAGTGCATCCAAGAACTCAGACAGGCAGCGAGCAGCAAAGTCAAAGAGCTGTGGACACGTGGGGAGGCTCAGCTCTGCCCACGGGAGGCTCAGCTCTGCCCACCAGAGCCCCAGCCACCCTGCTGGGTCCCAAAGCCTGGGCAGTGAGCCCTCCTCACCTGTTGACCAGGACCCAGCATCACCTCTTGGGGAATCACAAACTCCTTGCTCCGGGGCTCCATCCAGTGCCCCTCGATGCCCGTCAGAGTCACCCACAGAACACGCAGTGAGGCCCCTGTGGCTCCCAGCTCCAGCACCACAAAGTCTCCCTGCTCTGGGGACAAGTAAGTCACAGAGAGGTATGCAGCTGGTGAGACCAAGCCCTCTGCCTTCCAGAAACATTCCCAAAGCCTGTGAAGTTTTTGTCAAGGGAACTTAGAGATGGGAACCTTAGAGATAGGGACAGGGATAAGGAACTTCCCCCTCCCTCAGATTAGAACCCTCTCCCCAAGCCTGGCCACCTGTCTTATTCTATGCCACCCACCAGTGCCATGTGGGGTGGACCCCACGTATGTGGGCAGCATCCGGACAGTAGGTGCAGGGCTGGCCTGCCCGCTCAGCTCCCGCTCCATGGACCCCAGGAGGCGGGCTTGGATCTGCCGTAGCTGTGCCCCCGTCACGTTGAATTGCTGCAGGCACTCTTGTACCTGGGGAGAAACAGGCCTACATCTGGGCAAGAGACCTAGCGGAGTTCCCCAGCTCCAACTAGGACAGGACAGCCCTGCCCAGCTTTCACCTCCCCTCACTAGGCCAGACCAGCACCGCTCCCTCGCCTCCCCCAGGGCTGGCCTGAGTGCCCTCTGAGTCTCATTGCTTTCTCCAGCACCTGCTCAGCCCCACCTCTCACCTCCTAACATACCCAGGCTTTCTGGCCGCTCTCAGCCTGCACCCAGGTCCTGTAGCCTCAGAAGGCTCCTTTCTGGAGGAAAGATCCACTCACTTTCTTCTGCTCTTTTCCCTTCTGGCTCCCTCTCAGCTCCCTACATCCCCCGCCCCTTCTACTTCACTGAATGCTGGATTTGGCGAGGCCTTTCTCCTGTCACATCACCTTGAGCCAAGCTGCTCAGTGAGTTGTCATTGAATGAGCAAATGAATGAACACATGCATGAACAAACCTCAAGTTCAGGTGCTTCCTGCTTCAGATCCACTCCATTCTGGAGCCCGAGCAGACCCAGCCCTCACTTTTTTTTTTTTTAACACACCATCAACATTTATTGCTCAGCTCTCCCCAGTAGGCCAGTGCTGAAGCTGGGAGGGCGGGCCTCCACAAGGAGTGGTTGGTCTAGGGGCTCGGTGTGGCCACCCTGATGTGCCTTGGGGCCTGTCAGTCCTCCTCCTGGGCTTCCCTGGCCCAGAATTCCTGTGAGGCCTGGGACTGTGTCAGACCCAGGAGAACTGCCTTTGTGGAGGAGCAGGGCATATAGGGAGAGGTCCCGTGAAGCCTCGAACCCACAAGTCCAACATCAGCAGGTGACAGGAGTGAAACTGAGGTAAGGAACCCAGGAAAAAGTGACAGAGAGTCTGAGGGTGAGGTGGTAAGGAGAGTTTGGAGGCAACACCTCAGTGACAGCCCCTCCCCTCAGTCAGTCATCCTTCCCACGACACTGGCCAAGGCCTGCCTACACATCCAGCAACATCCTAAGCACTGAACGCAGCATGGCCAGCCAAGGCCCGTCCTTGTGGAGCTCACATACTATAGTGTAGGGGCAGAAAATAAGCAAATAAACAGATAATATGTTCTGGTAGTAATGGTAGCTATTTAAAAAAAAAAAAAAA